ACAGAGAGACACACACCTGTCAGAGAACACACAGAGACATACACACACACACCTGTCAGACAACAGAGACAGAGAGACACACACCTGTCAGAGAGCACAAACACAACAGAAATGTCGGTGTTAAGTGCCGTCATAAACACAACCCCCCCCCCCCCCCCCCCCCCACACACACCCCTAGCCGGAGAGCACACAGCCACCTCCCACCCCCAGCAACAAGGTGCTGGAAGAGGGGACCCTGAGACTCCACAATAGGGGTGGTGCTTCCGAAGCTGGGTTCAGGAGAACACCATGGTGCAGGCAAGAGGGAAACCCCCAAAGGGTCCCAGACCCGTCTTCCCGGGGGTGACACACCTGCACGGGTGTTCTCCAGCGTGGTCCTCAGCAGCTCTGCCGACACACGGACAGAGGCCACGGATGGGGGCAGGTACATGGCCCGCAGGGCGGCGAGTCCCACTGGCTCACGGCCTGGCTGGCAGGAGGCCCTCAGGAAGGTGTCCACGGGGTCTGTGGGGGGTGAGGGAGGGCGGGCAGCCTGTGTGCCGGGAGCAGCCAGGCTGGGGAAGCGGAGACTCTGCAGCAGGTGCACGGTGCTTACGCCCAGGGGCAGGCAGATGCCGTCCTGCTCGGGCAGCAGGTCCGGGGGCCACGTCTCACAGAGAGAGTCCTTCTCAGAGCCCGAGGGGGCAAGGGCCCCCCCCACGACCTCCCGGAGGCTGTAGAAGAGTGCGCAGGAGACGGTCACAGGTAGGTCAGGGACGCCGTCCTCACTGGTGCTCAGGGCCAACGTCACTTCGCGCTCGGAGCCGGGGGCCAGCTGCTGCACAGGGACTGTGTATGTGGTGGCAGTGCCAGGCGTGTCCAGCTCAAAGGCGCAGGCACTGGGCAGGACCTGGATGCACCAGGTCCAGCCGGGGCCAAGGCTGCCTGGGCCGCGGTTCTCTAGCCGGCAGGTGGCTGTCAGCTCTTCACGCAGGCCCCGGCGGCTCCAGGTGGTGGTGGTGCTACACACGACAGGCTTGGGGCCACCCTGACGGGACAGCAGGGCGCAGCTCACCTCCAGCGCCTCATGGAGGCGTGTCAGGGCCTGGTTCCTCTGGTCAACTGCCTTCTTCAGAAAGAACACCCTGAGGGAAGAAAACGTCAGCACTGAGAGGGCAAGGAGTCTGACAGCGCCAGGGGTCCAACGCCCACCCATGATGGCACACTCCCCAGAACCATGGGACAGGTGCCAAGCTGCTTGGGGCTGTCTCTGATGGCTGGTGTCACATCGCCTGATTGGCCCCTGTCCTCCTTTGCGGAGCTGCACAGAGCAGCGCAGGTTCCAGGCCCCTCAAACACTACCTGCAGCGCATGGGGCCCCGAAGGTCTAGGACCTCAGAGGACAGTAAGGGGACAGTGGCTGCTAAGACACTGCTGCTCTGCGTGTCTGCTGTGACTGGGCAACAAGGGGGCAGAGGCCCCACCTATGAAAGGACTGGGGTCCTGTCTTCCTAGTTCCCCTAGGAGTCGGCGGAACTTGGGTCGGTTCCCTGCAGAGTGGTGACAGGGAGTGGCAGGGCACCAACTACTCACCTCTCGGAGACGCTGCTGATGCCCGAGAGTAGCTCTGTAATCTTCCTCCCAGTCTGATGAGCTGGCTTCCTGGCAAGACAGACTTCTGTGGTCTCTAAGGTCACGTGGCAGGCCATCAAACGGCCTCTGGTGGACAGGGCCAGGAGCTCAGTCTCAGTGTTCTCTGAGGGGGGAGGGGGACTGGTCAGCAAGCAGGGAGGCGAGCAAGTGTGTTGTCAAAGGGCCAGGCCCAGTCATCGAGGAAGAGGAGGAGACGTGAGACACCCCGGGAAGCACCTCTAGGCACTTCCTCCTTCATGTCCCCACCACAATGACACTAAGCCCGCCCTTCACACAGGGCAGTAGAAAAAGGGCAGACACGCCCCCACTTTGGGTGGGACCCAGCTCTGGGCGCCTCACAGAACTGGCCTTTGCAGCCCCCACTCCGCTGCTCTCACTGGGCCTTTCTGGAAGCCTGACCTCATTTCAGCTCTGGGACCATATCTTCCCAGCCCTAATTCCTCCTGCCCCACAAAAGCCTAGGCATTTCTGTCCTGGACACAGTGCCTCCACTGCCCCCAGCTGTGCCTGAGGCCCCAGCTCACACAGCCACTGACACGCCCACCCTCCCAGTCCCCAGCACTGGGCGCCACACTGAGCCCTTGCAGCTCCATCCTGTTAGCTTCAGCCCAGGCCAGACCCCGACTGCTGGATAAAGCTGAGCAAGAGCTTCCGGAACCACAGAGCTAAGAGCTCTCTGATGTCGGGGAGGTGGACAAGGTCACAGCCTGTCCTCAGCTGACCAGCCCCTTGAGGCATCATCTAGTCCGAGGTACGTACCTTCAGACGTCCCAGATGATGCTGAGAGCGCCACGGCACTGCAGATACTCAGGCTGATGGGACACAGCAGTGGGGGCAAGCCAGGCTGCCTGGAGTCCTCAGGGGCCACGCCCTGGGCCATGTTCACCACAAAGAGACCGGAGGGGGTGCTGTGGTAAATGAGCCCATCTCTGCCACAGGCAGCACACAGCACAGGTCCCGGGATGCAGTACTCCCGCAGCTCCGGCACCAGATTCCCTGTCTCATCCCGGCTGGCCCTGATGGACAGTGTCCGGCCGTGGTAACCAAGGACTACCAGGCAGTCGGCAGGCTCCTCCTCACCCTTCTGGGCTCGCGGCTCTGTCCTCAAGGCCCCTATGAAGACAACGGACTCTTCCAGATGGTGAAGGATCCTGACCAGGGCGCTTGGGTCCCCTGGGAATGTCCGTGAGGTGACCAGGGTCTTGAGAGCCACACAGCAGAGCTGACCATCGGGGAAGCCACAGAGGACTCCAGGTGACTCCAGGAGGGTGGCATCAGCTCCAAAAAGCAGACCAAAGAGGGCCCCCTGCAGCGTGAAGCCCCTGGGGCCCAGAAGGTGGCTGTGAGGGTCTCTGGAGTCGGGCAGAGACACACAGCAGAGCACTGGGCGGAAGTGGGGGCCTGGTGACGACTGCCCAGGGCCCTTAGCTGGCGGGGCGCCGGCAGGGAACACCACCTCGCCTATCTGGGCTCCGGGCCTGGGGTCGGGCCCTGCACAGGGCTGCTCAAACAGCTGCATCTTCCATGTGGCTGAGCCCTTCGTGATGGTGACCAGCACGTCGTGGGAGAAGGTAAACGCAGAAAGAGCAACATCAGGGAGGATGCAGGTTTCTGGGCCAATGGGGATTATGCCGGAAGGGAGCGTGTCGTCTTCCTTGTCACCGTCTGCCTGGCTCTCCAACCTTCAAAGACACGAGGCCCTCAGTCAGAACAGGTGGGGTGAGTTCCACCATTGCTTCAGCAATACCCTAGGTCTGGGGTCTTCACAGGGAGCCCTGGCAAGGATGCCCTCGGGAGCCAACCGGCAGCTGGCTGTCACACCTCGTCCCACCTGCCCAACACCAGCAACAGTGAGGCAGGGAGCCCCAGCGAGCTGGCAAATTCTCAGTGCAGAGGACGGGTCTGACCCCCACGGCATGTGTGGCAGGCACGGGCTGCCTTCATGTATCACACGCTCAGCACTGACATTTTCTCATCCGGACACCAGGCCACCGACCCTCCTCTAAACGCTGCCCATCAGTCACAGAGCTCTTACTGCCACAATGACCCACGAGACGGACTGTCTTTCTAGAGATCTCGATCGAAGATGAGCTGCCACGGAGAGGAGGCAGGGGCCTGCGTCTCCACCCGTCACCGCTTCCTGCTCCTAATCGTCTGCATGCAGTTGGCGCCCAGACCTGGAGCCGCCCGCCTTCTTCCCGCGCAGACCCACGGCGGACCGCACGGAACGGGGTGTCTGAGGAGCGAAGTGCGAGCTCACCTGCTCGGCGTGTCCAGTGGGAAGCAGTAGACGCCGCTCTCAGCGCAGAGGACACACAGTGCCCGGCGGGGGCCCAGCAGCTCCAGGTGCCACACCTGCCCCGGGAGCTTGTACACCGCCTGGAAGTGGGGGGCGCGTCAGGTCCGCGTCTCGCCGGCGCCCCCTCCTCCCGCGTTCCCGCTCCGGGCCCCCTGCTCACGCTCGGCTGTCCGGCCTCACGATCGTAGGTATAGACCAGCTCCCTCCCGGTCGCCAGGAAGACCTCCGAGCCGAGGCCCAGAACGAGCGGCCAACCTGCCGCCAGGCCCCCGGCCGGACAGCCGAAGTCCGCCAAGTACTCAACCCGCGGTGCGGTGCCAGCCATCCTGTGCCCACAGCGGGATGGGGCGGCTGGACCCGGCAGACCTGCCCGAGCCTGGTGTGGGGCCGCAGCGGCGTTTTTACGACCGCCCACGACGCCCCCAGGCCGTAAAGCAACAGGGCGGGGGCGGGGCGGGGGCGTGTCCCGCCTCCGGAGACGGGCGGAGAGAGCATGGGGCGTATCCCGGAGGCGTGGTGTGAGCTGGGCGCTTGTCCCTGGAACAAGACGGGTGAGGGGTAGCAAGGTGCGACACCATCTAGGGGTGTGTCCGAGGGCATGATATGTCCTGGGGGCCTGTCCCTGGATCAAGAAGTGTCTTGGGTCGAGAGGTCCGGCGTGGATTGGGGACGTGGTGGGTCTCGAGGGCGTGTTCCTGGGAGCAATGAGGGTTCCGGGTCAGGAGACAGGGCACGGACTGGGGGGCGTGGCATAGCGGGTTCAGAGCCTTGCGTGGCAGGGGGGCGTGTTCCTGCAGCAAGGAGGGCCCGGGGTCGGAAGGCTTGGCGTGGACAGAAGGCGTGTCGGAGTCTCAAATCCCGCAGTTAACGGAAATACCAAGGACAGTCTTTTCAAAGCAGTAATCTTATTTTGGACAGAACATAAGCCCGAGGACAACCCGCCGCCCTACACACACACCCCCTTCAGCAGGGTGACCGCTGGCCGGGACCCGGCTCGCTCCGGGAACCTCCTCAGCTGGCGTTTCACCATCTTGGCTTTTTGGGGTCTCAGAAGTCGCTGGACATCCCCGGAGGGGAGTGAGCGCTGTTCTTAGAAGGACCGCCATTCCCAAAACACCGCCTCCCAGAGCCTTAACACCTGCTGCCTGAGCGGTTGAGAGGGGCAGTCTGACAGTTGGAATACAGGGTTGGGGTAAAGGACAGTAAAGGAGAACGATGGAGTAATGCGCTTGAGGTGAGGGTGCAGGTGGGCAAGACACCTCCACGTGCGCTTCTCATTACTCCCCCTAACGGCTGCAACCAGCAGGGGTCCAGGTTTTGGACAGGTCCCGCACATCCCCGAAGTCCTGCCCCGTGGGCACTACTCCTCCCTCGATAAACTAAGATCAATTCTACAGTGACAGCTCCCATCCCCCGCCAAGCTGCGTGGACAGCTGTGTCTGGGGCTGGGTGGGGCTCACCTGCACTTTGCAGCTTGAGCCTCTGCTTTCTAGGGCTGCTCAGATCACGTCTGTTCTTGCTGCTGAGATGCATGGATAGGGGCCCATGAAATAACATACCACCCTCCTCTGTTCCCCTTGCCACCCCTGCCCACAGCACTGCCTGCAATCTTGACAATCTACAGTCCCCCCAAAGCTGTCTTCCATTTAAAAGGCTTCCTGGACAGAGCAGACCAAGGGAGAAAAAGGGTGTCGGGTTGAGCCCAGGAGCCTGCATATTGGTGCTAACTTGGACCACTCCTTTCCCACTTAGTCCTGCTCTGGGGCGCTAGCATTCTCCTTCAGGCCCCAAGCCAAACCAGTATCCTAATATAAGCAGGCTCTAGCCACACAAGGAACCCTGTAGGCACAGTGGTGAAGGACTCAGCATTTTGCACCCATGGCCACTCTGGGAGAAAGATGAGGCAGTCTGGTTCCGTAAGACAGCTATGGAAACCCCATGGGGTTAGGTCCACTGTGCTAGGTCAGATTTGCCTTTGGTTTTATCCACACATGAGCACCAGAACCTGTGCAGGGAGATGAGGCAGTGCAGATGTTAACAGAGAGCTCAGTGACGTGTGTGCCGGTCATGGCTGGACACCAGGGTGCTGCTTCCCAGGTGGTCATAGGTGGCACAAGCCAGGAGGCACAGCAGGAGTGAGGCCGCTGGTCTGAGTGCTGGTTTCGCACTGTGCCTCAGTTCGCTACAGCGAGCTACAGTGCCCAGGAGAAAGCTCCTTGACCCCAACCACATCACATCAGGGCAATCCACCTCTAAAGCAGGTCAGGGCAGGACAAGTGCTGGGGGGCTTTTGAAGTAATTGTTAATGGGAGTGGCAAATCACCTAGCCATGTAGTACACAAAGGTGACAAGAACACTGGTTCGTCCTGGCTGCAGGATGATGAGGATGCAGCTGACTCCGTGATCAGATGGGAAGGCTCCACCAGCCTCTACTCACACCAAGTGGTGAGACATGGACACCCAGTCGTGGATGGGGGGAGATGATAGTGTGGGCACTGAGGCAGCCAGGAAGGGGCCTTAACCTTCCCCAGTGCAAGTACCATCAGCTGACATGGGCACCTCAAGCCTTCACTTGATCCTACATCAGGCAGCCCCCAGTTCCTGGCTTGCACAGGGGTGCCCGGTACAGGAATGACAGCGCAAGCCCAAAGGTCACTTCAGGCGCTTTTATTAGGTTCCACTGTAGGGCCAGGACCCGGAACTCTGACCCAAGTCCCCCTCACCTGTGAGCCCAGAGCTGATAGGTCAAGGAACGCCTGGTCCCCAGAGACTTTGAGGTGGTTCAGGAGAGGGCAGTGGCACTGTGCTGTGGTCAGCTCCCGCTCAGCACTCCCTCCTGACCATGTAGACAGTGCCTTACTGAACTGAGAGCAACTCAAACCCCAGGGCAGAGAAATGACAATGCCTTTGCTTTCACCAGATGAAGAAAACAGGCGTGGGTGTGGATGCCAGAGCGTCAGCACAGAGGAACGGGCACGAGTTTGGCAGCAAAGACGAGTACAAAAGGAGCTGGTGGTGAGGCGGCCCATCTCATTCCACAGCTACCGAGTGAGGCCGTGGCAACTGCGGACATGGGCCTCCACACCTTTCTTGATGGCCAGGCTCGCTGGACTGCTCCGTGCCCACCCCAGGACATCCTCTCCCCATGGTACCCCGATAAGGAAGGCTCCCAGGCCACCTGTTCTCCTGGGCACAAGGCAGCGTGGAGACCCAGCTACCATTAAGGCAAAGAGGCATCATGGGGCAGAGCCAGTGTGGGACCACAGGAGAGGACTATGATGTTCGCCTATCCTCCGTCCAAGCCATCCTGTGTCCTGTAGCTTTGGCAGCGGCCACTACACTGCCCTACCCACCCTCCTGCCGGCTGGGTGGCTGCGTCAGGTCAGGCCAGGTGCCGCGTGAGGACCAGATGTGAGGACCAGATGGAGGACCTGCTACCCTGGCCAGTCAGCCGGGCCAGCCTCTGGGTGGACCCCTGCTCCCTGCTCCGTTTAGCCCGTGCGTGTCGGAGCTTCAGCGTGCAGCGTGCTGGGACGTCTCAGGCACTAAGGTTTCTCGAAGGGTCAATGATGGTAGTCCCTGTCCACACCCACCCACCCTGGACACACCCGAGGGGCTTACTGAGGGAGGGAGGGAAGGACGCGGACACTTGTCTCTCACTCCCTGTTTGTGCAGTTTTTATCTTAAAAAAATAAATTAAAGTCCTCTGGTCAGGAGTCGCCAGGGACTGCTCTGACAGCTGACATTGCCCGAGTGCCCCTGAGGTACGGGCAGGGCCGGCGGAGTCCCACAGACCATGGCTGTTTGAAGAGACAGCGGGGCCTCACCAGACACGGGCCCAAACGCTCCAACCGAGTAACAGGGTGGGGAGGGGTGGACAAAGCACTAAAACAAGTATGGAGCTGGCAGCTCCGGACGAGGCAGAGACACGGCCCCCAGCGCAATGGGGTACCGTGGGTGCTATGGGGTTCCCCGGGTGGGGGTGCACTGTACCCATCACCCGCAGCCAGCAGAAGGCCCCTTCCAGTGGGCGCCCTTTGGGAAGAGAAGCTCCGAGCCCCCGGCCCTGGCCCCTCAGGTCTGCCCACAATGGACATATTGCCGTGCGTGACCTCGGCTCCCTCGGGCTGGGCGCCCATCCTGCCGGCGGGCTGCCTTAGGTCCTGGGAAGGCTACACATTTCGCAGTGCCCGGTGCCTGGCGGGTTCATGAAGGTACAGTGCTGGCAAGCCCACATGGCAACGGAGGCGGTGGTGTGTGCAGAACCTCCGACGGCTCCAAACTCCTGGAGGCCTGGGAGCTGCACCCCGACGGTGCCTGTGGGTAAAGGACAGAAGGACAGGGGTCATTCATCACTTCTGGGCAGGAATTGCACATGCCTCCCCTTCTCCTGTGAGTGTGTGCAAGTCCTAGCAGGTGAGCTGCCTTAGAGCCTGAGGGCACCTGGACAGTGTTCCCACACAGGAGAGCCCGCGTGGTAGGGTTTGGGGGTCAGGACCCGCAGACCCTGGGCTTCAGTGATGAGACAGGGCACGCCTCTTTCCACGAGGCTCCCTCAAGGCTTCGAGTCCGACCAGGCTTTTCTCATCCCTAGCGCTCAGTATAGTGTTTAGAGGGATTTTCACAACTGTCTTTGCAGAGACTTCTGGCAGGTCTCAAAGCCACAAGCAAAGACTGTCCAGTGCCCACAGGTGAGGTTCTCAAGCTGACACATCACACACACACACGGCCACTGCATCAAGTCACACAGACTAAAGTCTCCACCAGGCTCCAAGGTGAGAGAGCTGGGATCCAGCAACCTGCTCTCAGCCCATGGGGTGGCTTCACCAAGGGCCAGTCAAGAATGTCACTGCCCTGCATGACCCGGAGTCTGTTTATCTGTGAGGACTGCTGTCCTGCTGCTCTCGGTGCACAGCTGTAAACATTCAGAGCTCTGGGCCTACAGTCTACACACCAACGGGGGCAGTCCGCAGACACGGTGCTGCCCGAGAAGCCAGCCGGATGCACCTGGCCAGGGCTCCGGGTAACACTTACTACACAGCTGCTCAATGGTGGCCCACTGTTCGGATTTCTTCCAGGTCTGTGCCAACTCCTCATTCCTGGTCCTCACGGCCTCCAGCAGCAAGCTGATGCTGTCCTGCACAACATCCACAGAGCATTTACAGAACCCCATGGGCCGTCCCAGGAAACCCAGAGACTTAGAAACCACGTTAAGTGCTAACCCCAGCTGGCCTCCGTGCCCTCTGCTGCATCACCACAGCGTGCTTGCTAACTCAGAAAACAAAGGCTCAGACAGCTGCACTATGAACCTGGCTGTCCGCACACGTGCTTTTAGCTCCTCATCTTCAGAACTGCGCACTGGATTCCAGGCTTCCAGGGCAGAAATTCCAAGAAATTAAATCGTGTGTGCAACCAGAGTTGGGACCCGGGCAGGGACAGTGGGGACACGGTGACTGAGCTCAGAACTGGTTGCGCCTGACTAGACACTAGGGTCTGCTGTTCCCCTCATCCCAAGCCCCAGGGGCTCAGGGTCTATTACTCCTCTCTCTGACACAGCAGGAGAACACCCTGACTCGCTGTAGCCCAGCCCTAAGGAGTTGTTGTCATTGCTAGAACTCTCTTCTCTGTCTGGCTCCCTCCAGCTGTGCGGCACTGGGCCTGGTCAAGGCCAGATCACAAACCCGATGCGGAGATGGGATGTCCGTGTCTCCTGGAGACCCCTGGAAGCTGACACACAGACACTGCCCCTCATCACAAAGGACACAGGGAACCTAAAACATCATTTTACTGGGGTGGATGCTCTGCACCAGCTCCAGACCCACCTGCTGGCTGGGAAGGGGAACCCCTCCTGGCCCCAACCCCCTGAGCCAGGGTCCAAAGTACTCCCACCACCCCACCCATGGCAGGAAGCCAGAACTCCCTCACATTCTGGTCTTACCTGCAGGGGCATGACCTCATTGGTGACCAGGAAGAGCAAAAGGTGGAAGTCCGAAATGGTGTCCAGGAACATGGATGAGGTATGCTGGGACAGGTAGGTGGCCAGGCTGTGGAAATCCTGACAAAGGGGCCAAGGAAAGGGACACATGTCAGTGCCAGCCCCAGAAAGGGCCCTCCTGCCAGACAAACGAAGACGCTCAGCTGAGCGAGTGTCTGCTCCTGTGGCCCTGATCCACACGGAGCCAGAAACAGGGCCAGCAGCTGCAGTTGGCACTCACCTATTCGACTAGTACACAGTAGACATGCATGAAAGCTGGCCCGTGTGTAGGAAGCTGATGCGTGCTTGCCTACGTGTGTGCATATGTGTATAAAGCTTGTGTGTGTGTGTGTGTGTGTGTGTGTGTGTGTGCGTGTGCAAAGCTGGTAGTGTGTTAAGCTGGTGTGTGCATGTGTATGAAGCTGGTGCATGTGCGAAGCTGGTGTGTGCATGTGTGAGTATGTGTGCGAAAGTGATATGTGTGTATGTGTGCAAAACTGGTATGCGTGTGAGTATGTGCAAAGCTGGTGTGTACGTGTATGTGTGCGTGTGTGTGTGTGAAGCTTGTGTGTGTGGGCACAGTCCACAGGACAGGCACACAGCAGCAGAGTTACTCTGAGGGGCCTAAGTGTGGCCATTATCCACCAGCAGGGCAGAGCATGAGGGGGCGACCGGGAGCAGGAAAGACTTGCCCGAGCTGGAGGAGCCATGGGGACCCGTCACTCCAGCAGGCCTACAAAGAGGCTCTTTGCGGGCTTAGCCACAGGGCAAGAACCGGCGATGGAAAACTTGGCTCTCTGCAAACAACACTGCCACTAAATGCTGTGTCTACAGACAAAGGCTCACCTGTGTCTCACCCAGCACGTCCCGGTTTTCGATGGGAAATGGATTTTGTGAAATAGAAAAGGTGTGAACTGGGTCCTTTGGGAACGTTGTTGTGATCTGAGGATGGAGACACAGACTGGGTGAGCAGTGTGCTGGTAGGGCACCAGCCCCCGACCTACAGGGAGAGTGAAGGACAGTGCCACCCCCACTTGAAACCTGGCTCAGCTTCCAGCCAGGACGGCCCCCTCTGCAGGAGCCATGGGGCCAGGGCCAGAAGTCACAGGAACACTTCCAGCCAGCCTGTGAAGCCAGCCTGAAGTCAGGGGCCAAGGCCTGGAGCCAGACAGCTGCCATCCAAGGGAAGACACGGGACAGTGCGCCTGGGCCCGCCGCCCTGCATTCTGCATCGGCACAGGCAGCTAGCCAGGTCTCTGCCCAAACTATGCCGGGCGCCCTGACAATGCCAACCCAAGCCAAGCTGGTCGCTACTGGGAGACCATGGGTCTGTCAACTGGCCCTCGTCATCTGCACAGCAGAGGTGACTGGGAGCCTCTGAGGACCGTGGTCCGCATGCCGCAGACAGCAGGGGCTGTGACCACGAGACAGTCGTGTGAGAGTGCCTGATGGGCAATGCCCCCTGGAGAGCAGCAGCAGGTCAACGTCACAGCCATCAGGCCTCCAACTCCCAAACTGCGTGTGGTCAGTTGACTCGGGGAGACACCTGATCCACTGCCCCAGACCCCGGGGGGCCAGCCACCCCAGCCACGTCCACTGTCCGCAGGCCGGCTCGGATGAGACTGCTCGCCACCTATGCGCACGCTCGGACAGAGCTGACAATGCTTACGTTGCCTTCAAGGAAAATAAAACCCTGACACGAAAAGTCCCGAGAATTCAGCAAGCCCTCCCTCCTGGAGTCTGAGTGGTCCACGGGCCCTGAAACAACTTACATCGATGATCAGGTACTCCACGGGCAGGGGACGTGCCAGCTGGGTGATCTCATTACCAAACTTGTCGATGTCCTGTGTGGGGAACAAACCAGGTTGGGGGGGTGGGAGAGGCACTGAGTGAGCCACAGCCTTCCTTGCACACACCTGTCTCACCTCTGAAAGAGCGGTAACTCCAGAGCGGAATCTCTCGGAGCACTTTGTGACAGTCCTTAACACCAGGAAGCAGAGTCCTCAGGTTGCTAGGGTCTCCCCCCATGCAGCCTCACTGGTTCTAAAGCTTTCTCTGTGAACGGGCAGCCGGCCACTGTGGGGTCAGAGCGCCCTGTTCATCCTCCACAAGTCCCTTCTTCAGTCTCGCAGGTCTGAGCGTGAATTCTGACACACTTCATTCACACCTTTGACACACTTTGTGAAAACTTCATGTTGTGTGTTCGTAACACACACACTCTCACAAATATGCAGACACCAAACTGTCAAAGTCTCAACTTGTTCTGCTTTGTCAGACTCATGGAACATAAAGTTTAATTAATGGAAAAATGGCCAACATATGTTCATTAATCATAAGATGACAATTAGATATGATTTATGTCAAACAGGTTGAGTTCAAACAGAGCTCTAAAAATAAATTCCTAAGAATCGATGCTTTTCATTAAGGATTCTGGGGGTGTGTGTGTGTGTCATATTTTCTATCTAAATCACCACTTAACAAACATTATATAAATTGCTCACCAAGTCATATATAAGCTGTTTTCTTTTTTCATAATCCCGAATTATAGGGCCTCACATAACAGTTGACATTAAAGCTTTTGGGCCCAGGTAAGTGCCGCACAGAGCTCCTGGGGTGCCTAACACACCAGTACCATTGTAGGTTGTCACCACAGGACTGAGGGGCTCTGCTCCTTTCTCCACACACACCCTGGTGCCGGGAACATCAGCTCTGGCTCGCTAGTTGTCCCGGTCAGTGTCCCTGTCCCACCTCCTCGTACTTGCTACCCTATGTATGGTTTCTGAGGTGGATGGCACATGGGGGCTTTCACTCATGGGGCTCAGTTTTGATAGGAGCACCCCAGAACCAGGGCCATAAGAGTGGGAGCCTGAGCCCCAGGAGGGGCAGCTTCCTGACCAATGAAATAGAGGAGGAAGGCACCAAGTCCAATCAAACGAAATCACCATTTCCAAAAATACACTCTTGCCCCTACAAGAAATAACCTGCAACAACTCACACATAATGAGCCCATCTGGAATTCATCTTCAAATCTAATTAAGCTCTAATATGCAGAACCCTTTTTCCAGCACCTGCTCTTGTTCATCTTCCCCTCGGGGGACTTTCTTGTTAAATGCCTCTCTCTCTCTTTTGGTGTCCTGCTATCCTCTTTCAAATTTAAGTACCAACTGCACCATCTCTGCTACCCAAGAAAATCAAGCCGCTGCACACCCCTCTCTTGCCCAGGGGAAAATCAGGTAGCTTCTACCTGTCTCCCATGCCTTTGCTTCAATACTCTGGCTAGTCGATCGATCCTGAGCCATTTTCCAAGACAAAATTACTTTTATGGTCCTTAGCAAACGTCAGATAAATACAGCAGACGGACGCAGCCTGCATTCTCCGTCTGGCAGCTGCCAGAGTGTCAGCAGTTCTCGTTCCACCTGGAGCAAGACACTGGAGGAAGGAGAGGAGCAGCGGCTACACGGGGACCACTGCCATCAGGGAGAAAGTGGGGTGCCTCCAGCTCAGCGCACTTAGCCCCTCCCACTAACTGGGTGGGGCCATCTGGTTTAGGAAAGGTGAATGAGACCACTGAAGGGCAGGCTGGGCAACAAGGGACAAAATGAGTCTAGTCCAGTCCGCGGGCACCCTCAGAATTTTGCCCACAGACAGATCCAGCAGCTGAGGGGGCCCCGAATTCACAGGCACAGCCACACCCTCACTTTAACATGAGACGAAGGCTTAAGATCAGTCACTGCTCTGTGATCTAACAGCTAGAAAACGTGGAGGACTGACAAGAAACCACATCCATCTGCAATTGGAAGGCGAGACCACAGAACAATGACTCGAGCCAGGTGCCATGGGGCTGAGGACACCCGAGATCAGGTGTTGGGCTCCAACGCCAGGCAGACATGCTGAAGAGACCCCATCTACCACACAGGGAAGGAGTTCTGGGGTGGTGCTGGGGTTAATGTGCCAGACTGCAAAGTCGTTTGAACTGCAGGTCGTCGGTTCAAGCTCACCAGCTGCTCCTCAGAAACCCTATACAGGGTCGCTACGGGTCGGAACTGACCTGACGGCACTTACCAACCACCACCACACAGGGAACGAACACAAACCAAGCTCTAGTTTCAGCGGCCGGAGATTTCGGTGCCACAAAATCCCCTTTCCTAAACTGAGGTTCTGGGACTGTCAACGCCACGTCTCCTCTCTCGGTGACCCACTTCCTAAAGAATGCCATGAGCAAATAAAACCTCCTAAGACATTTGTTTTATACAAAGACATACAGTCAGATTGCTTCAGCAAGACCCAGTAGCAGGCAAGCAGACAGCACAGCGGACAGGTCCAGAAGGAGACAAGATCACCTTGGTCACTGTGGACAGGGCGCTGGCTGGGTCAACTGGACCCACTGCAGCGAAGTGCCTCAGAGCAGTCAGACTGGCATCAAAGGGGACTCAGTGAGCACACAGCTTTGCAACACAGACGTTTCGGTGAAAAAAAGACGAGTATGTTTTGAAATCAGTAAATAACACAGCTGCTTTGTATGTTAAAAAACAAAATAAAACCAAAAAAACCTAGCCTGTGTTTGCAACATATGACAAAGAGTTAATATACAAACACCTTACTTTATTGTTAACTACCGTTGAGTCGGTTCTGACTCAAAGCAAGCCTGTATAGGGTTTCCAAGGAGCAACTAGTGGGTATGAACCCACCACCTTGGAGTCCAAATTGACCTTGCAGTCCAGTGCATATCCTATGGCTCCACACGAGGACCCTCGATACCTCACTCATCAGTATCACCTTTACAAACATCAAAGAAAGGAAACACCCAAGAATGTCTCTGTAACTGGAGAAGGCCGGGGAGGCTCCCTCACTCCCACCTGGAGTTGCTGGCACAGGAGGGGTCTGCCTCACCACCTCCCACCCAGGAGGATGCTAGATCAACCATCAAAAGCCCCACTGGAGTCTGCCCAGCCAGGAACTGTGTCCCAAGTGCCGGAGGTCACCTGGGCCAAGTGTGCTGCTAGCATGGCCACACAGGCCGGATTCTGTGGAGTGCAGACCTGCTGACACAACACAGGCTTAACAGCCACACACGGCTGGAGCCCACCTGACAGTCATCAGTCCCCACCTGCATGGACGCTTACTCACAGCGTTGGCACTCCCTACCGGAAATGCTTATCCAGGCCCCCATAACCTACTGCTCAAGTCAAACCACCAGGACTCAGCAGTCCATGGGGGTCTCAGACCTCCACCTCACCTGCCCAGGACTCCCTACCTAGTGTACTCTATCCTTATCTACCCAGCATGCCACTCAGCCCCCACCAGAGCAAGCTTGCAGGCCGACCAAATCCAGAGTGACATCACACTCCACCACCAGCTGGAGTGGCCCCAGCTCACCCAGTGGGTGACTGCCTGACCTGAACACCACGGTGCCATCGCTTGCCACCATCCAGGCATGACAACAGAGCCATAGGCTGTGGTACCTGCTGTCCCGAGCACTTCTCACTCACCTCCTCATCAACATGATGGTGAGGAACCAGAGTCAGGGTCTCCAACTTGGCACGGTCCTACCAGGCAGGACCTCCGGAGGTACTGCCAAGAACACTCCGCTGCCCACCCCGCTGAGGGCACTCTGAGAGTCCAGGCTGGAGTCTGGCCGGTCTGTAAGGCGCCAACACCTGGGCCAGGGCACCACCAGGTGTTGGTTGGAGCCAGGCTCAATTGTAAGGGGCAGGCTGCACCCACAGACATGGCATGGGGACGCAGGCAGCACCACCTCTCAGCGCCTTGGGAAATGAGAAATCATGGAGTCCTCGAAACAGAAGAGCCCAGGGCTTACGGGGTAAGTGGAGCTGTCTGCCTGTTACCCAGCCACCCCTGCACACCTGGAATCCAAGAGCAACACGTCACTGGGGAGGCTCAACTGAGCCTCAGCACCTCACTCCTGTCTGTGGGTCAGTAGACACAAGGAAAGGCCTGTCTGTCACACTGGCGTGCAATGGCCAACAGCCCATCCACCTTCTAATTTCAACAGGTGCATAGAACACCACGTCACATCACCCACAGCACAGCCACAAGGAGCACCCCCCCGCCCCCCCACAAACAAAGAGGGCAGTCACTCTCCCTGCTACCATTCCAAAGCCAGGACACCTCTTTACAGGCTGTGGTGTGCACGTGGAACACACGTGCCTGTGTGGTAGACATGGGTGCTGGTGTTTCTGAGGTCTTTATCTTGATAACCAAACTTTAATGCCAGAACAGCCTTTTTGGGACTCCTGATGTGACGTTGTAGGATCAGCTCTGGACTAGGAACCACAAGGTCAGCAGTTCACACCTACCAGCTGCTCCTCAGAAACCCTACACCAGATCGCTCTGCGTAGGACCCGACTAGACGCCACTTCAACCAGGACAATGACTTTTTAGAAGGGCAGCATGGCACCACCTATGAAAACTTACAAACCCTCTGCCCAGCAATTCCACGTACGAGGGTGTTAAACCCAACACTTTAACAAACCCACAAAGAAGCAAACTGATTTCTAAGTGGTCCTCAGAGAACACTAATTAAATGGCCTTGTTCTGATTCGAATGTCCCAGGGGAGGAGGAGTCAGGAGGGAGGAGGCTAGACACCAGCCCCGATCCCCGTGGTTGGCACCAACAAGCATGAACTGCTCTGTGTGAAGCCGTACGAGCACACACATGTTGTGTAGACAAGAGCTGGAAGGACGGAGCAGGAACAGAACACGGCACCCCAGGGACTGCGAACACCAAGCAGTTCCCTCCTCAGCTGGAGCACTCTACTCCCAGGACCTCCACCCTGCCACTCGTGCACTGCCCCCCCCACCACCCCCCGCCGCGCCCCCTGGATCTGCAGACAAGCCCACGTGTCAGAGCATAAGTGAGCATGTGTCTTCCAACACAGTGGCTGGGGTGGTGTGTACACCCAGGCACACTCTCAGCCGTATGGAGCGCCTGTCAGCACCTGCATCCAACACAGGTGCAGTGCATGAGCGTCCTCTCATCAGAGGCTGGGCTTCACGACACTTGTGATGTTGACTGGGGCGCATCCTGCTTACCAGTCAGACCCCAAGTCCAGAGGAGGGTGGAAAGGACTGCCTGGTGCTCCGTTCTTTCTGGTTCTCTCTGTCTCACTTGGGAAACGAGGGCCCTCAGACCTGACACAGCTATCCACAACTTCAGGTCTATTTATAGTCTGCTCTTGCCAAGAGAGGGCTAAGCCAGCCAGCGATGAAGACAATGGTGACTTAAGAAAGATCCTCTAGGCCTTACAAAGGGAAGCTCAATTCTAAACTTGAGAAACATAAAAGAAACACAGAAATAAAATAGTACATTCCCAATCTCATCTGGAAAAGGGTTTGAAAAGATGATGACAGCAAACTGCTCGTTCATGATGTGACCCTAGAAGCATTTCTTCTATAAGCACCTTTCTAACCTGAAATAAGACCGAGGTGCCTTCCACATCACTCGACATTGCTCAGAAGTGCCAACCAGCCAAGCAAGCCAAGACAGAGAAAGGACAGTGACTGGGCCTGAAGGGCACAGATTGTTCCCCAGCATTTGACACTGGGACTGTCAACGCAGACAGCCCCAAAGGACATGTGTGCACATGATGAGAATGAACAAGCCAAGCTGCTGGAGAATGAGATGTACCTGCCATTTCAAACCGCATTCAAGAGCCGGAAATCTCGATTGGAAAAGGATGTACTTACAAAACACAAACAGAAGAGAGTACCCAGGAATCGTCTCAGAAGTTTGTGGGAAAGATTACAAAGCTTTCTGAAACAGGGAAGAGCTCCGAGACAGTACCGCCCACCAACTCAGGGAGTCTGCAGTCTGGAAAGGCATCTGCGCAGTCTCACAGAACCCTGCATGGCGGGGCTGCGACTCGGCAGGCTGGATTCTACAATCCACACGAAAGACGGAAGGGCCAGGACCAAGAAATGGGCTCACCCTCTGGCATGACGTCACACTGGTTGGTGTTGGTCAAGAGCAATGGGTCAGTGAGACAAAGCAGAGTCCTCAATGCCTACAGAGGGCCACCAAGCTGCATCACAGCCTAACGGAGACAGGAGAGCAGCTCCTCAAAAATGGTGCCTGGACAATCGCTAAACCACATGGTTAAAAACCTGCAAAGGAATTGATTGGGCCTTGATGGCACACAACACACTGAGGCCCCAGAGCCTGATGGGGGCTTCAGAAGACAACAGAATGAGACCATCTCAGTGATGCAGAGGGCCTAAACATACACAAAAAACATAAACCTAATGATATTTAAGAAGCTCTGGTAGCGCAGTGGTTACGAATTGGGCTGCGAGCCGCAAGGTCAGCAGTTTGACAGCACCAGCTGTTCCACGGGAGAAAGATGAGGCTTCCTGCTCCCGTAAAGATTTACAGCCTCGGAAACCCTGTACAGGGTCACTATGGGTCGGAATTGACTCCACAGCACATCACCACAACAACAACGATATTTAAAATGGAAAATTTCTGCATGGAAAGCCAAGATAACACATGTGAAACTGATAAAAAATCAGTATGAAGACGATATCAAAAATTCCCACAAGAAGACAAACAGGCTTGACTATGCACCTTCACAGACCAGAAACCAGGAAGATGCCAGCCTCACTGGTAACCAGGTAAATGCAATGTACAGCTCAATGGCGGCCCATCATATGGCCACCTCGTGTGGCGTGGCACAGCCCAAACCCTGAGCCTAATTTGGTCCGACCCCTTTGAGAACAAGCTGGTGCTGCTCAGTCAGGTCCCAAATGAAACCGTCCCCCATATGAGCAGTAGGTTCATGGCGATCCTAGTCACAAGGTCACAAGGTGTTACCCACCCAGGAAAGAGAAATGACAGGTATCTGCTGGGGGGCCGTAGAGGAACACAGTGCAACGAAGACATCTCTGAGGACCACAGATGCTCAGCTAGGAAGAAAAGCAGAAAGTCAAGACAGTAGTGAACTCCAAGAGGGCAGAGGCCACAGCAGTGGAGCGGAGGGAAGGGCCCACAGTCAATCAATCAAGTGCTTAAACGTGGTGGCAGAGCCATGGGCATTGCTAGTGATTGTCTCCTATAAAAAGGCCCTCTCCTGCCACCTCTACTGGAAGATGACCACACTCAATTCACCTACACTGAAACTCGCTCCTGCTGGGAGCATGAGTCCTGGACCTGTGGTGAGGCGCTGGAGGATCAGCACTGGACCACAAGGGCGATTTGAACCTCTTCAGAAACCCTGTAGAGGGTCAGAACCAACTCGACGGCACTTAAACACAGGAAAGGCATGCCAGGCTGAACCAGAGGCCTGATCTAGTGATAGAGTCCTGCTTTTCCATGGGCCCACAGGCCGGCCAGTGGATCTTAATGCTTAGTGCTTGAATGGCTGCCAGCCTGGGGTGAGCACAGGCGGCACGGGCCTGGAGCCAGCTCTGCTGCTCCTGGTTGGTGACTAGAGTGGTGAGCACAGGACCTGTCCAGCGGCTGGGCCCACCTTTGGTCCCACATGCAGTTCTCAAGGAGACACGCTGGCTGACAACCCCCAGAGGAGACCTGGGCAGCAGAGCCACCGCAGAAGCAGACTGAAGTGTCACTCCAGAGCGGAAGGGTGGAGACCAGACAGCCACCAGCCAACACCCAGGGGGTTGGGACACTCAGCAGGATCCCTAGCATTCTTCAGAAAACAAAATAACATCTCTTCCCATTGATTTACATATGCAATAATTTAGTAATTTAATCACCAAGTTCCAAAGGAGAATGAACCATATATGCCAAATCCTAGAGTGTTTCTAATGCAATCATCTGGATTTGTACCAAACAGGTCACTGCCTGAAATCCAACTTTACTGAGTTAGCTAGGAAACCAACAGTTTCTGCAAAGTCTGAGAACATGGAAGAAACACAACTTATTGGTAATGTGGACCTATTTCGACGTGCTTATTCACAACAGCTGAAAAGTGAAGCCACCTAATTAGTGTCCATCAACTGAAGAATGGGTAAGAAACCAGAATGCTCTCTCACCATTAAAGAGGAATGATGCTCTGCTACATGGTACAGTGTGGGAACCCAGAAAACACTACAATGAGTGAAAGAAATCCGAAAGAAAAGGTCACACAATCCCTAGTTCTACTAGCAGAAATGTCCCGAACAGGCTTAATCTATATCTACTTCTAGTAGGTCAGAAATGTCCAGAAGAGGCTAATCGAGTAAACTTTCTAGGAGCTTAGTGGATGCCACACTGGGAGGGATGGCGCTCTGGTAGCATAGTGGTTACGAATTGGGCTATGGACCTCAAGGTTAGCAGTTCGAAACTACCAGCTGTTCCTCAGGAGAAAGATAAGACTTTCTGCTCCCGTAAAGATTGACAGCCTCGGAAACCCTGTACACGGTCGTCACTATGAGTCGGAACCAACTCCACGGCACAGAACCACCAGCACCAGCACACTGGGAGGGATGGGAGGTGGGAGGTGACATCTAAGGGGTCATTTCTGTGGACAAAACTGCTCTAAATGAGAGCTCAGCGATGACTAGATCAGAGTGCTGGTGAGGACGTGGACAAACAGGCACGCTCTTACCCACACACCCAAGAAGCTCTACAAACACAGAGCACAAGCTACATGAGGCAGCTACACAAAGGCACATCGTCATCAAATGACTTAGAGCCAGCGAAGCCAAGACCCTAAGTTAGGGATGTAGGAAGAAAGGAGAAGCATCGCGCGGCCTTCTTTAGGGAAACCATGTGGGCCAGACAACCACCCACCTAGAGCTCTCTTTACAGCAGAAAGGTCACATGAGTACACAAGGGTTGACCTGCAACCTGAAAAGTCTACAGGAAGTCCTGCTGATGGACACCCAGGGCAGCGGACTGGTAACCAGGTCAGAAAAACTCCCCCGAGTCTGAGCTTTGTCTCTGGTCCTAGAGGAGGCATCTCACTCCTACATGTTCAAAGCTGACAACCATTTCCAGTGAATAGAGTTTCACAAGCAGCAGACATGTCACACATGTCTCAGGAGCGCCTAACTTCCGTCCACACAGCTCCTTTCTGCACTGCAGCCGAGGCCATGGCAGTGCCTACTTCTGTCAGAAACTGGCACTCTGAGTCTGACTTGGTGCTGCACACACGTGTACTTCTACTTCCGACCCTAAGCCTGACACCCGAGAAGCCTGAGTCACTAAGAACGAACCTGGAAATGCTGTGGCAGGCATCCTGCATTTACTTACACACAGGGTTCCACAAATGCTCACAGCGTCCTCCTTGCATTGTCACATGGCCTACCTTGTAAAACACATCTGGCACATATTGCTCGCTGCTAGACTCCTTGACATAGCCAAGCTCTGGAGCATCTTTGCATGGCAGCAAACACTCATCACGGACCAGGGCCATGCACTGATTGGACACCTGGTAGCCTTCAAAATGGACCTGGTTGTCGGGACCACCTGAAATAGAGAGATCTTTATTAAAAAAATAAGTAACTTCTAAAGAAACTTTCTATCTGGTACTGTTTACTTCTGACCAACAGATACATGAACTTGAATAAGGCCTCACACCATCTGATGGCGATTTTACAACTGGCTTACGCACTAAGGCCTGGGTGCAAAGCGTCCAGCCTCCACGGCCCCACGCCAGCTGCCCCTGTGCTCCATGAACACATGTCATCAGTGGCAGTCTGTCAGAACTGAAGAAACTTAGGATTGGCACACAACACTCTCCAAGCCCAAAGATAGACTTAGGATCATCAAGCATGTGGGTTCCTGGTTTGGAATAACTCCAGAGATGTAAATGACCGAGTTCTACGTTCCAGCAAGCTGTTGTTCTTCAACGAATTGGGGCAGGGGGACACATTTCTTTCTAATTGGAAAGAAAGCTAGTGTGATGGTTAATGTTATGTCAACTGGGCCAGGCCAGGGCTCACATTACTCTTGACTGTCCTCTATTCTGTGATCACATGTCAGGGTTCTGTATAAACCACATCCTAAATTCAGGGTTGCCAAGAGTCAGAACCAACTCCACAGCACACCACCACCATCAAAGCTCTTCATGTTAATGAGGTAGGATTCGTGTGGGGTGTGTCTTACTCAAGTCACCACCCTGCACAAGGAAGGGGGGTTTCCTTGAGGACAGGCTCTGGTAAAACTCTCACCATCTGACCTGGTTTCACAGGACTTGAGCCGGCAGCCCCGGATCTAGCAGCCTCCCAAGGGCCAACAGCCTGTGCTCTGACCTGCTGATCTTCGACTCAGAAGCCTCCAGTCTGGTACCTGACCCAGAGACTGGGGACATGCCAGCCTACACAACCTTGGGAACTTTGTCCTTGAGATGATGATATAATACAGACATGACGGAGCTTCAAAGGGTCCTGGGAAAATGGAATTGAAAGGTAGCGGAACTGTCCCATGAACCTTTTGAAGCCACTGATTTTGTTTCTCTCGAGATCCCATCAACAACTGGCATCCATACTGCATCAGAGTCATCTACTCTACATACCCCGACCCAGCCACCACTGGTAAGCAATGCTATAAGGCACCACCCTGCCAGGCGTGTGCACAGCTGCTTTTCAGTGCCGCCCGCCCAGGCTCCACACCCTGACTTCCTCACTGCTTGGTGCCCCTCAACGAGCTCCAGCTTTCATCTACAACTCAGGGCAATGGAAGCACAAAAGGGGGAGGACAGGGATAGGCTGACCAGGTAGCAGCTGTGGCCCTCCAGCTCTGAAGTGAGAAGAGCAAGCGGCCAGGTGAGAGGAGGGGCCCAAAGCCTCTGGAGGAGCAGGAGCCTGAGTGTGGGCCAGATTCACACTGATGGCAGCCACAGCCACTACCGTGGTAGCTTCAGAGAACAGAGCTGCAGGGCTATGGGTCTCTTCTAGGTGACCTTCGAGCGGAGGTTTGAAATTCTGTCAAAGTGACTGGCTGGGCCACAATCTTACAAGGGAACAATTAGTCTACAATGCAAATGTTGTTGTTTTGAATCGCCGTCAAGTCTGTTCCAACTCAGAACGAGCGTGTATAGAATTTCCAAGGAGTGGCTGGTGGGTTTGAATCACCAACCTTGCAACTCAAACGAACCTTGCTGTCCAGTGCATTATCCTGCAACGCCACACCAAGACAGCGTAAAACCACCCAATAGGAACTGGTGGATTAATATTTGAAGAGAAGTGACTGCGGCCCAACACAAGCACTGGTCAGCATTGGGTATGACCTGAAGCTGACGAGGAGGAGGCTTACATAAGGGCCACTGCTAATGAGTTGAGGGGACCCTAACCCTAACAACCATCACGAGGAGCCTGATGCAGAATGCTTCTTTGGACCTGGGGCCTGTGCTGAGCACCTCCTAGACACAGCAGAGAGCGAGCTGGAACCCTACAGACAACATGAAGGCACAGTAGCTGAGAAGCGGCGCAGACAGTATGCGCAGCCGGAACTGGAGGCAAAGCAGCTGCAGGGGACTTGCCAATCCAGAGCAAGAGCGCCAAGTGTCTTCAGGAAGGAGGTTTGCTGGCAAAGTGAGCTGCATCTGGACACTTGTCGGCAAAGCCAAAGGGCTGGACGAGGTGCCTGAGGAGGACAAGGAAAAGGCCTGCTTGTGGACGTGGCGGTCCTGATGGGAGAGCTGGTTCCTATTACCAACGGATCAGAGAGCAGCAGTACATTAGCCGAGTATCATGGTAGGGTGGGTGCTGTCCGGTCTGGGGAAAGAGCTGGAGAGTGGAAACCAACTCTGTGCTGCTCCGGAGTCTTGGATTCTCATCCTTCCTCTTCCAGACAGGAGCTTACGTCGGCCGTAGGGCTATTTTCGTTTCTTTGACAAAAGCAGATCCATTACTTACCAGACAACAGAAACATCATCCATTAAGCTTTCTAGTGCGTACCAGAAGAGGGACTGAGCAGGCGGCATGACGGGAGGAGGAGGGCAGGCTAACTGCACACAGGAGGTGGCAGATGCTCAGTTAAGCTGGGCTCCAGAGACCCTAACTTTGTAGCCCTAACTCAGAGAAGGAAACCCACTCTGGGGGTGTTCAGTAGTAGCAGGTGCGGAGCAAATCCCACCACGGGCCTCGGGCAGATGCTGGCCTCGGGCGAGAAAGCGGTGGAGTGTGGGTGCATACGGCTGCTGCCACTTGGCTCTGAGCACTGTAAACACGCGGGGAACTTGAGATGACGCACTCACGGGCCGTAGGCCAGTAGCGAATATGGAAAGCAGCGCTGGTGAAACGGAAAGCTGTTAGAAAAAGCCGGAAGACGCCGTATGGAGACTCTCTGCAGGCAGATTCACTGAGATGAGCGCTGTCCACGGGGAGCAGCAGGAAACCAGAGTGCCAGAGGCTCACTTCACCTAGCCAGAAAGTTGGCATGGCCAGGAGCAACGGAAGCAGACCAGCTAGCTACCACTCTCTTCACAAGGCATCCTTCAGGAAGCCACGTGTGGGCTGGCCTGCAGGTCTTGGGAAGGGCAGTGGCCAGGAGCCATTCAGCTGTTCACTGAATCCCGTGTGCTATTCATCGATAGCAAAGCCGATCCCCAGGAAGTGACCTCAGAGGCCAGGCTTGTCTGCGAAAACCTCTACAGATCTGGGCAGAGCCCCGGCAGCAACTTCAGGGGAGGCTGAGGCCCCAAGTGCACCACCCCCTCCTGGGAGACACCTGCACACACAGGCCAGGACCATCCTGGCCATCTGGGTTGCAGCAAATGGAGTCCAGGCACGTCTGTTTTCAGACAGCAACCAAGAGCAGCAGGGCGTGGGGAAGAGCAACATGTGAGTATCCACGCTACACTGAGGACAAACGCGTGTGGCATCCATGTCGCCTCAGAGTACTAGCCCTCCCTCACAGACTCGTCCCGAGCATCTCACACTCACCGGCAGGGACAGGAGGACCCTAATTGCAGGCCTTTTCAGAAATTAAGTTATTTGTTGTCACAGAACTCCAAAACTTGTCAGTAAGATGCTAATTCCACAGGAAAAACTCCAATTCCATGGACAATCTGTGTTATCTTCAAACCCCAAGCAGAGGTACCACTTGATACCAAAGGCACAGGTAGTCTCTACCTCAAGAGCTACTGGCACCTGAAACCAGGACCACCTTTCACCAAGAAGTAGTCTTCCCTCCCAGAAACAGTCATTAAAGGGAAGGGTTACCATGGAAGCCTGAAGCAGCAGCTGCCAGCACAGACCCTGGTTCGGGAAAGCTAGGAGTGGCTAGGGGAGGGGCTGAGTCCTGGAGTGCCTCACATCCCACACAGCCTTTGGATGTCCCCTGTACACGCAGTAGGCTAAACTCCCTACTTCCAGTGATGTGGGAATGGGGTCACTGGCTTCATCAGAGTCACAGGAAACATCATAAAGCGGGGCCGTGTTGGTCTGACAGGACTGAGGCATGTCAGCTACTGCATCCAGAAGACACGCCAACATTGATGGGGCAGGGGGTGTCTGGGGGATCACAGGCTGCAGGCTGCAGAAAGACCACACTTTTCTCCCTTCTTCCAACACGGTGCTGGCTTTGCAAAAATTGTAACCCACATGAAATGTTTCTCTCTACACTGTCCTTTGTCCTCTCAGCTGTTTTCCCATGGTCATGAATCTTCCCTTTGGGCCCTGCTCCAAGGACTAGGAAGCAGACAAGTACCCATCTCCTTTCATCCAGCCAAATGCCCATTCATCCCCTTCACCTAAACCAAAAAGGAGAGGCCAAGCATCACAGAACCAATTTTAGGGTGACAAGATGCTGAAAGGACTTGACACATTCATCACGTGGTGTATCCTCCAGGTCTATACCTGTAGCCACCGCAGTGACAAACTTGGATCCAAAGTGTCCATCTGGGGAGAGCCGACACATGTTGGGGTGTTTGTTTTGGAAGTCCCCTGCAGTGATACACTCTTCTGCACTTAGAAAATACGTGTCCTAGGATGAGAGAATAAGCACACTGTAATAAGACACATATGACTCTCAAAACCTCTGGGGAAGCGACGCCCTGCCTCTGACTGAGGACAAGGGCTGGGACGGGGAGGTGGGCTTTGCTCTTAGGTTCACCAGCCCTAATCTTAACCAGGAGAACTGCCTCGGAAACACAACTGGGTCTGGAAGCCAGCCCACAGCACACAGGGCCACACACAGCTGGAGACGGGGTGGGCTGTGGGCCAGAAATGTCTACCTGTGTCTCACCTTATTTCTACTGTAACGGACCGTGCCCTTGCGCGTGTCTTCAGAGACGAGGTCTGTAAATATCCAGCCAACCTTAATGAAAAAGGAAAAAGACCTTTGAGCCTGTCCCTGAGACAGAAGACAAGTGTTTTCAGGTGTCTTCACAGAGAGTGTAAGAATGGTGCTCTCAGCTGAGAATAGCTGATGAGTAAGCAGTTCTACCCAACAGCTCAGCTTGTCTCCCTGGAGAAGAGGACAGGCCCCCAGAGAGCGGCACTGCACGGGGAAAAAAGGTAATGGTGAGCACACCAGTTGCCCCCCAGAACCTGCGGCAGGGCTGAAAGGAGGCCTTGGGGGGAACAGGAGTGGAAACCCCATCACAAGGTACCCCACGAACTTCCTCATCTTCCCGAATCAGAACCCAAATCAACCCTGCAGTGGCTGCTTAGGGTCCCAGCAGCGTACTCTCCTCTCTTCCCTTCCCTTTGAAGGAGCGACTGGAGAGGCTGAAAGTCAGGAGACAAGGCCTGACCACCGACTGCTGTATTGGCTAGACATACAGACCAATAAGAAGATGGCTCAAAAAGACTGTATTAGCCAAGTAAGAGCTTCTTTGAAAATATCATCTATACAAAGCCAAACGGCCAAAAACCACTCAAAAGCAGCGATGAGAAGATAAAAGGAGTTGGACAGCTAGAGTGCCAGAAAGGGTGCAACCAGAATGGAGGGAGGGAGGGGACACACTGGGGAAACCCTGTCACAGAATAACCCGGAGAGAACTGTTACACTGGAACCAAATTTGCTCTGTAAAGTTCCACTTCAGACAAAATACAATTAGCATTATCCCCCCACAACCCCCAAAAAGGATGACAGCCTAGGAAATCCTACAGGGCAGTTATACTCTGTCACATGGGGTCACTGAGTTAATACTGACTCGACGGCACCCCAAAACCACAGGGTGCTGCAGCCTCTCCAATGCCCCTGGCACGGGACTCATCAAGTCCATCTTTTACAGACACAATCTGGACAATGTGGAGACTTAAGTTTCTTCAAAAACACCCACACAAACCAAACAATCCAAAGGGGGGTGGCAGCAAAGCCAGAGCAACTTACAGGAAACACAAGTTGGCAGTAAATAAAGCAGAACTAAACTCCGATGAAGGAGCAAAGTCAATGAAGTAACTTTAAGACCTTGTATTAGAACTATCCTGGTGTGGTGCTTTGGGCTAACGTGTCTGACTCAAGGTCGGTGGTTCAAGCTCACCAGCTGCTCCTTGGAAAGCCTATACAGGGTCGCTATGGGTCGGAATCGATTCGATAGCACTTAACAACAACAACATTAGAACTATGACCTTTATAGATACCATGGTTTATTATAAACACAGGCCAACAGACAGCATCAAGTTCTCTGCGGAACAAGAGAAACTTCCATCAGTTGAACCAAGCTACAACCCTAACTCTTCGAGACAACAGGACATTTGTTTCTTAAAAAGTAAAGCTGTGTACCAGGGCCTTGCTCAGTGACATTCCTCGGTTTTAATTCACATTTCCAACGCCCCCCCCTTGTCTCTAGTGAGTGCATTCTGCACTGTCTAGATTGAAGAAGAAACAAAAGATACAACTTAAAATTCGTCAGTCTCTCACTACCAAACGTCTGAGACAGATGCCTTAGATTCACAGACAAACAGGGATCCGAGAAACCCCAGCTGAGAGCTCCGGGGACCCCAGCACAGGCCTGGGGGAAGTCAGGTCAGAGACTCAAGAGCAAGACCCATCTCCTAAGTGCCTGGTAAACTGAGGCCTGCAGTGGGACCTGAAACCCCACCGCAGTGACTGAGAAGCCCTGGGAGCTGCCAGAAGGAAAAAACTGGAAGGAGGCCGGCCCAGCATGCAGGGCCCTCCGTTTCGGAATGGGCCGGGTGGGTGGGCTGAGACACACTGCAGTGAGGTCCTCTCGGGTCTGTGCCCATTGCTCCCCCCACTTGGCAGCAGCGAGTTAAACGTGGCTGGTGACCCTAAGGCCGTGGCTCCTACATCTGGGGCATTTCTTCTATGCTCTGAGAAACATCTTCATTTGACTTTAGATCTGGCAAAAATAAATGCTATCGGCACCTAATCAACACAGGGAAGGCTTCTCAGTGCTGTGCTTACCCTGCCCCTGCACGGGGGGGGCGGCGCCTGGTTTGCGCTGCTCATCTGGACTACCCCAACACAGAACTTGGGTTCCCCCCACCTCCAGAAACAGGTCAGCAGACAGACATCTCAATACCTTCCTCAAGCCAAGCTTGGCGGCGATTTCATCAACCACCTCGGCTTTTGGATCTTCCAGAAGCTCCAAGCTGTTCTGTGTACCAATCTGCAGGGGTGAGAGAGAGAGTGAGTGAGAGAGAGAGAAAGAGAGAGGACAGGCTTTAGAGGCGTGGGAACAGAGAAGCAGCTCTGCTTTCTCTTTCCTCTTCAGCTTGGGGCCCCAGAGGTGTGCTGGTCTCCTGCTTGCCTTCTAGAGAATTCTAACAACAGAAAACCGCACGGCAATTAGAGAAGACACAACCCAATTCCCTGCAGTCTTTTCCCCTCTCAGATTGCAACACTCTTTCAAACCAAGACTGCAGCAGCGGGAGTAAAGGGGGCACATGGCCGGGCTTTGGTCAGAGTTATTTACTGACTGCATGCTTCCTACACCTGGGGAATTGAGCAGTTTTATTCCAGGCAAGGATAAAGCTGTAAACTGTCCCCAAAAAACTATCTCGGGAAAAGTCGTTGGCAGCTCCTGCAGGGACAATACTGAACTTTGCAGTCAAGATGTGGCATTTTAATGACCAGTGCTACACCCCAACAATCTGAAAGTCAATACCTCAATGTCAGCAAAGCCCCCGGCTCTGGGCTCCATGATGAGCCTGGGCTATGCTTACTCACAACAGGTACCACATGCTGGTGTTGACAATGTTTCCAAAAACTTTAATCTTCAGTTAAATGCAGCTTGAAGATCATTAATAAGTACCCTACTGAGCAAAAATCCCAGACATAGAAATAGGAAAGTAATAGTAATCCCAAATTGAGTTCTACTAATTAAGCTAATCTTTGTAAATTAGTCAAATGCTAGCAAACGACAAAAGAACTTTGTTTGCTGGGTATTACTCATCTGGAGAGCGCTCCTTTCTCCAGGGAAAGGGCCCATCTGAGGTCGAGACCCTGCTTACTGACATGGCGGCCAAGCTTCAGCCCCTAATGAGCCAGGAAAGGTCTGCACACCAGAGGTTCCCGTTGCCATTGTTTTGGGCAGTTCTTTTACCAGAACCATTCAAGCTCTCCCACGAGCTCCTCACAGAACCATGTTTGAGTCTTCTGTGCATCCCAGAGCACCTCAGCTTGGCTGCAAGGTCTCAGTGACCACGTCTCTACTGACATCCAGTGTCTCCTCTGAAACGATGAAACACTGCACAAGGCCATGGAAATGTGCACATACGCACTCTACTCAAAATGTCAAAGGGAATGAAAGTACGCTCACAATGTGTCTAAACACAAACATCTCTGGAGGAGTCACACACAGACTAGTGCTCAGGCCTGGAACAGCCATCCCAGACAGGGTCTCTGACCCTAAGCCAGTGTGTGCTGTGTGGTTAAGAGGGAGAAGAAGAGTGCACAGCAGGGTCGGTCAGCAGATGGAAAGGATGAGGGGGCTTCAAAAGATCGTAGAAACATGGAATTGTGAGAGGAACTCAATGTGTCGTGTGTCTGCTTACATCAAAAATAATAAAATTACAAAGCAACTAGCTGTGGGGTTAACTGTACAGAAAGGAGCCGCCCCAGGGAGTTTAAAGCACAGGTACTGAGTGTCCGTCCATCCAAGTGGACACTCGAGGACACACAGCCCTATCCCAGCTCTCACTCCAGTCTCAGGCCCGTTTTGGCGGTGGTTTGGTTAGAGTTAGTCTGAAACTGCTGTGTTTCAGGGTAAAGTCATCTAATTCACAGGAATGGGGACTGTCAGCATAGGTAGGAGAGCAGCGGAGTTGACACTGTTGAGGCAGCTGACAAAATGGAGCCTCAGCACACAGACGACAGACAGACGGATCAGATGAAAGGGGGACTAACTGTGCTGGCAACAAAGCGAGTACACTTAAATCTTAGGAAATACACACTGGAGCATTTAGGGGCTTCCTTTCCAACCATTCAGAAAGTAATTAACATGTGTAGAGCTAGACAGGCAGAAAGCAAACAATGATACAAAGAAAGGGGCATCTGCAGAGCCATGAACACAGAAACACAGACAGCACCAAGTTGACGTCTCCACTGCAATTCTGTGTGTCCCTACCTGGGGGGGCTCATAGATGGCAGCCACCTCCGCCCTGATGCCAAGAGGGATATCTCTGTGCTCCGTGTACCGGCCATACAGGTACCCAAAATGCTGGTTTCCCGTCTTTCTCCAGAAGTCGAGGAAGCGGTCTGCTACAGTGTGGTTCTCAAACATGATGTTGTCCACGTGCCTGTATTTCTGTAAAGCAGAGCAACCACTCAGGTCTAGGTGGAAACACAGCACCGGATGTAGACCACTTCTCCGGAGCAGAAGCGTTATTCAGCCCTTTACGAAAGCAGTCTGCTCCTGAGGCGCGTCCCACAAGCAGCCCAGGCGGGCCTTGTTGCCCATCACATCATTCATGAGCACCAGGCCGGGCCAATGCAGTTGACCAACTGACCGACCGACCGACTGACCAGCAAGTCTCAGGGAGAGGAGGAGAGGCATGGGTAGGGGTGATTCATCAACAAATAGACTCAAATTAATCTCACTGGGATTTCACTGAAAAGGCGGGTTTTCCTAATCTCTACGATAAAAAATAAAATCCTGAAGATTTCACAGCAGTCGAGGAGGCCACAGAATTCTTTTAAGGAGAAGAGCTTGGAGTGGACAGCAGCACACTAAAAGAAGAAGAGCTACATCAGTCCACCCTGTCACTGTCCTGACCAGGGAGGAGGGATTCACCTCAAACAGCAAGGTCAAAGCCATTAGGTGCTTGACATTAGGAAAACGCTGCCTCCACCCAGTGGCCGGCAAAACAGGAGCATCAGGCTCCACTCTGAGAGCTCTCGTACGACTGCAGCCAACCACTAGCACGTTCTGAGTACGTGCTGTCCACGAGGAGAGTCTTTCCCAGAAACGCCTGTGAAGTAACACTGCCGTGGCTATCTATACAGACACAACGCCCAACCTCTCACCTGTCTGTTCAGGGTGATGGCGCTGGGCTGGCACTTGGTGCAGATGCCATTGGGCCATGGGAGGTGTCCCTCGCAGCCTGACTTGATCTTGCAACTGATGTTCTCCAGGGCAACAAACTTCCCCCTGTGCAGACAGGAAGCTGCAGTGACACTCAGTGTGGAAGGTCTCGGAGGAGACTGGGATTAACCTGTACGCACTCCAACGAGGGTGGCACTGGAGGCTCAGCACTAGACTGTTAAGCACATGGCTGGCGGTCCAAACCCACCAGCTGTTCCCTGGAAACCCTCTACAAAGTTGCTATGAGTCCGAGCTGACTGGACGGCAAAGAGCAGCAACCGCAGCAACTTGTTGGTGTGTGGCTTTGTTGTAGCACTGCTCACTGCTCGCTGTGTAACCGGCACTCATCTGAGCCGCACCTGACACAACAGAGCGCCCCTTCTGCCGCGCCACCAGCCCCAGGCATGGTTAGCCAGGACTCGCCCGGTCATGAAGAACCCTGGCTCTCAGGAAGCTCCGCTCTGGACAAAGCACAAAGATACCTTGACGCTGGCTAAGTAAGAATTCCCTAGGACCTACACTGACCCCGGTGACCTTGCAGTGACCTTACCCTGGGTACCAGTGTCACGTGACACTGTGCCCAGTGACACCTGCAGGGTGCCTGGTCTCAGAGCCCCAGGGACAATCCAGGCAGACAATGGTTCTTCCTGCACCCAGGAAGCAAGACCAGCTTTCCCAACTGGATGTCAGTGGCTGTCAGAGACAAGCTCCCACCAGGCAAACAGGACACTGCGGTGCCAACAGGAACAATAATTACACAAGAAAGGAGGTTGTGGTCTGGCTTCCACTTGTCCCTCTCTCAGGCCATCGCCACTGTCGCTTAGGCGCTGTCCCCAGGTTCCTGTCCAGCCCCGGCCTGGCTCTGCAGCGCAGCCTGACCGAGCCTGTGGTCCGCAACTGCTCAGGCACCTGAAGCCCACACCTACCCACAGGGCTGCGGCTGTGGCCCCCAGATGGTGTGAAATTCCGCTGCATTGGGAGGAGCTCTAGGGAAAGAGCACCGGCTCTGGCTGGGACATGGGTGAGCTGAGACCACCAAGGGCAGCTCAGTTTCTCTAAAGAGCAGACCCCACCAACGAGACACCCACATGCCCTGCAAGCACCACCCACCAGAGCACCACTTACATGGGACGGTCCATGATCTGTCTACACAGCTGCATCTCCAACACCCTGCTCCCCTCCAGAGCCAAACTCCACACACAGCAACGCCCGTGCCCCACTCTGCTCTCTGCATGCCCACTGGCCACGGCTACCATGGTCCCCGATGCCCAGGTGCTTACTTGTCGGCCCCGCCAGTCAGCTTTCGGATGTAGGCATGGAAGGACATATGCTTCACAGGAGGCTCAAGATGGTTCAGGTAATCCTCATCAAACGGCTGCCAAGATAGAAAGCAACAGAGTCACGCATCTGCCGGGCACTCGGCTCACAGAAAGAGCCGCCGAGACAACAGCTCAGGCCAGAGCATGGTGCCCCTTGGCCAGCCAGGCTTCAATCAACGGGCAAGGAGGAAACACTCCTTGGCTTGAACACACAGTTGGAGTCAGATCAAGCTTTCATTGGTATCAGTGACCTTTTTGAGATTAAGATAAGTCTCCATCTATCAAATGCAGAATGTTCCACATCAAGTTAAGTTTCAGTAGAATTTTGCAAAAAGAAAAGCTTCAAGACGAAGCCTTGGGAGCCCAGTGGAGTCAGGTCAGCCTTGCTTGCCATAAATCCGGTGCAAGCCTGTTCCCTGTCAGCACCATCATGGTAAACTCTCAATCTCCCCAGACAACATCAGCAGAGAGATGTGCATTTCCGGAAAAATCAGTCAAACCAGTGACGAGCACCAACCGACAGGCCGGCTCTGTGGCTGTCTTTAGAAGGATTATCCAGGGAGCTGCTGTAAATGCTGCCCCTCAATCAAGCAATAAAAACTCTCCCACCATCCATAACCCCAGAGAAGGTCACTCCCATAAATATGGGTGCACCTCCCCCGCTCCCTACACCCTCACCAGTGGGAGTAAGGCCCAAGGCAGTAAATAAATCAGCTTTCTGAGCTGCTCATGCTGTGGGGGAGCTCTGCAGGAAGTGATTAGAGAGCTCTAGGCAGCCCCTCCACCCCCAACCATGTTGGACTCTCACCTCAAGCGGGACACAATGCACACATTTCCCCAAAGGGCCGTGGCGGCATCTGTGTAGAAAGAGACAGACAGGGAGGAGCAGGTTCAAAATGAGCCCTCTAGGTCCCCAAAGGAGTCTTAGTGTGGCACTGTAGGGTAAGCACTGAACTGGTGACCACAAGGTTGGCAGTTCAAACCCACCAGTCACTCCTTGGAAAGCCTATTCAGGGTTGTTATGAGTCAGAAACGACTTGACAGCTTCCCTGCCCACATGAACTGATCCTGTTGTTGTTGTTAAGTGCCGTCAAGTCGGTTCCGACTCATAGCGACCCTGTACAGGGTTTCCGAGGGTGTAAATCTTTACAGGAGTAGATAGCCTTTTCTTTCTCCCGCGGAGCAGCGGGTAGTTTCGAACCGCTGACCTTAAGGTTCGCAGCCCGATTCGTAACCACTACGCTACCAGAGCTCCTTTAGCTGCTCCTAAATGAACATTTTCACCCTAAAGCTCTGGTATTTGTCTTCCTCTGCACTACACTAAATCGACCAGTGCTTACACCTTGTGAAGTCACTACCTAAATGATCCCACCAACGTGAAGGCAAAAGGACTTAAAGTCAATTTTATTCAACTGCTAAGAGAGGAGAAGAAAGCTGGTCGGTAGGTGTGAGAATGGTATATTTGGGTAAAAGCGATAAAGGATGCCTGGCTCTGGGGGCTTTAGATACTTTGTCACAGAAACCTTAGAAGCTCAATACATACAACTGACAAATTACGACGTCCCTGTGTGAGGGAGGAGGGGTTGATGGGAAAGAACGGCTCACTGAGGCCACCTTCTAAACCACGGTGGATTCTTCTCAGAGGCACATGAAGTCTATATCTTCAGAGGAAGATGGCTTCTGTGTCTCCTGCCAGGCAGCTTCTTATTGATAATATGTCAGAATTAAAACATGCATGCACACACACGCTTCATGAGTCCTGATGAGGACTGGCCACCTCGGAGCGAGGGAGTACCAGGTCCCCAGGAGAGCATGCAAGTGGAGGAGGTGTGCCTGCTAATGGCTGCAGCTGAGCGGTGCCAGCTCCGTGCCAGCTGAGGCTGAGTGTCATTTGTGGCTCTTCAGTCCAAGGCAGCATTTGGAAGCCCAATATTTCATTGTCAGCAACCCCATGTTTACAGAGGCAGGCAGCTAAAAAAAGACGGCAGTATGGAGACAAGTGGTCCCGTCCCCCCCGCCCCCCCCAGCGTTCCATAGCACTGAGTGTGGACTCAGATGCTTCTAACTGGCTTCCCTACAAGGAACTGCGAAAACCTAAAATCAACACACACACACACACACATCAAGTGGAGAGTGGGCACCAGAGAAGGAGTGGCACTCGAAGGTCAGGAGACCAGTCTGAGACACGTGGCACCTAACCCGCTGTACGAACTTGCACTAGCAGACACCCAACGCCCAATGCCTTCTTCTAGCCATCCTTTCCTTGCCGCTTAGCACCTTCTCAGGCCCGTTTGACCACATGGGTGGATCACAGGAAACACCTGGTCAAGTGCCCTTCTCTCCCCTGGATACTTTTCAAATCTCTTAGTGTCCAACTACTTTAAGACTTTTAAATTACATGCGGGACACATGCGAAGTCTTCAGAAAGTTTTTGGACAATTGGAATTCGAAGATAATAGTATATTTTCATGAACTTTTTGAAACTCCCTCATATTTTGAGATTCAAATCATGAGAAAAGCTAACCAGTAACTGGAAAGTCTGGAAACAGATGGCCATACTCAAACCCTACAGCAGCAACAAGCTACAACCGGCTCTGTTACAAGCACTTGGCCTCAGCAAGCCCTGGGGATCCCACGTCTGGGCAGCGACACATGCAGCACTCACAGCTGGGGGTCCCGGCTCCGGTAGATTTTGCCGTCCTGTCTGCTCAGGTACTGATCGATCTCATCCTCCACCACACTGGGCGCCCCAAAGGCCTTTAGACTCAACAGGGTCGATGTCTCCATTTCAGACGACGGCCCAGCAAGGCTCGAGGGGAACAGGAAGAGCAGGTCTCCATGTCTGTGCAAACAACACACGTTAGGTGGGTGTCTTCCTCTGCTCTCCCAAGGGGCTGCCGCTAGAGACCTAAGTGGACACGAAGCTCCCTGACATCTGTAAAAAGCATTCTAGGAGAGATTGAGTCACTAGGCTGGAAGGCTTAGGAATAGTCTCAGAATATCTAGGCCAGTTGGCACAACGTAGTCCATAAAAGACAATGTCCTACATGCTACTTCAGTGAGCAGCAACTGGAATCTTAAACGCTTGTCAGTGGCCATCTAAAATACAACTATTATTCCCTTCCAGTCTGGAGTAAAGAACGTCAAAGGCTCAAGGAGACAATGCATCCAGAGGACTCATGGACCATGCAAAGCAGACACTCCACTGACCTGAGGCCGGAAGAGCTAGATGGTGCCTGGCTACCACTATGGACCACTCCATAGTGGCCCCATCAAGGTCCCCACAGAAGATGCTGGACACAGTGGGAGGAAAACTAGAACAAAAGTTAACATCATAAAAATGACCAAACTTACTGGTCTGATAAGAGACTGAACTGAACCCCCTCCCGGAGAGCCCCTTTCAGGCAAACAATAGACTGGCCTATGAAGTAAGCAAGCACACCCATGAGGAGCACATGCCTCCCAACAATCAAAAGAAAACAAAGGGGCAGCCGGGAACAGAAAAGACAGACCAATGGAAATGGAGAACCCTGGGAGGAAGCAGAGAGGGCTATTACATGAGGGGATCACAACTAATGTCACATACCAAAATAAATATAAATTGTTGGATGGGAACCTAATATGCTCTGCAAAGTTTCACCCAACCGCAACAAGCTGTCCGGAAGGCCTGACATCAGGCTCCAGGGCCCGACAGGCAGGGTTCTGTGAGCCATGGGCTACTCAGCAGGACGAGGGCTTTTTCTCTACTTAATGCTGTCTCACTGCCGGAGGGAACAGGAAACCGCACACTGTCCCCCAGGTCTCGGGCAGTATGGACCCCACCTGTCCCACCCTGCACCCCGCACCCTGCACCTACACAGCTTTCCATGTTTCCTCTACCTTCACATGCACATGTGTCTACATGAGACGTGGGGGGCACATGGTGTTATCAAAGACATACTTTTGCACATCTGGCTTTTCCCCCTCAGACATACCTCACAACACCCCCTCCAATATAACCCATGCACCTCTAGTGCTCCCCCGACGAGGGCTGGCCACTCTCCTGGCAGGCCTCAGGGGGTACAGGGGTGCCCAGCAAAGACACTGACTACCCTGGGGAGGCACTGTTGGACTAAAGGGGCGTGTTTGTTTGCAAAGCCAGGACTACTTCCCTAAAGAGACTCTTAACAACTCATTCTCACAGCAATACCTGACTTCTCTCCTTTTAAATGTCAATTATGACAGGGTTACAGATGAGATCTGTCCCTAACTGTGTCTTTGAGAATGGACAGGTGAGGGGCCCCGGGTCCTATCCAGCCTTACTTTGGTGTATAAGAACAGCAATGATTCAAAAGGTGCTCATGCACCAAGTGGTGGTGATTGATCATGAGGAAGAATTTCAAAGCGAGGGCAGATATCCGGAACACTAGCGCAAGGCTTTCAAGATGGAGGCCGAGCACGCTCTGTGAACGTGGGCAGCTCCACAGTCCCGCCAGGAACCCAGTCTCCCGCATCAGGCTCCTGACATTCTCCCGAGTCACCCACTCCAGGGCTTCCACCAGACCCATGATTCTCCCGTTCCAGCAAGTGTGGCGGGTCACCCAAATGGTCAAAAATCTGGTCTCTTCTGGTTTCGCTCCTTCAGCCAGGTCAGAATGGGTTGGAAGTCCTGCCTTAAAGGGCCAGCAGGTGTTGTCCTTACTGTCAGATGTTCGGACCCCAGGGAATGCCTGCCTGGCCCTCGATCACACACTGAGGACTTATTCAAGGACCTCACTGGCCCCGCCAGACTGCTGCAACCTGAGACTGCAGAACCACTTCCAGGTCACCAACGGCTGATGGAGGCACCATAGGGACCTGTGTCTCTGCTACCTCAAGACCCCGGAGATGGTTCGCAACAGTGAAAACGTAATTCAAAAGTTGAGAGGAAAATACCGCAGCACTGGCACATGATAAATATGTAACTGTTGTCAACAAGTTCCACACCCAGGAGAAGAGATGGACAGAACACACAGCTGCACACTAACCGTAACGGGAAAGAGGGACAGGAGGCCACGTGGGAGTCATGAGGCTTCGCTGTGGCTCTTCAACACTCTGCTCTGGCCTCGTCAAACATGTGTCTTTCCTCCATCACCAACGGTGATAAACTGACAAATCTTAACCAGAAACTTCTGCTTCTAGCAAAAGAGTATCTATTATGAATATCATCCAGTTATAGCAGTCCTGGTGTGGTACTGTAGAATAAGCACTGGACTGCTAACCACAAGGTTGGCGGTTCAAACCCACTGGCCGCTCCTTGGAAACCCTACACAGGATCGCTATTAGTTGGAATCTACTCAGCAGCTTTTAACAACAACCACCAACTATAAAGCACTCAGCCCAATCCAAGATCCAACAATGGGTCTCTATCTGCTTGGAGCATTAGAACAAGAAAGTCATAAATTGGAAAAAGAAATGGACTGCAGAGTTAACAGCCTCCACCCTCCACGAGCAGGACCTTCTTTGCCAGGAAACCAGAAGAAATGGGTGTTTCCCAGCTATATTTTAATCAAGTACTCAACATGTGGATCTGGATCCAAAGGAGGAAAAATGTGAAAGAGAACATCAAACCCCTCTCAACCATTTACTCGGCCCATGGAAAAAGGGGACCCCCCAAATCTATCATCCTGAAACTGCCATTAAGCCTTGAACCGAAACGACCCCATAAAGTCATAAATAAGACAACAGTTCAGCTCGACGACCAACACGGGCCTCAGACATTCCACTCTTTCACAGAATGGCTTGTGGCCACCACACTGGCAGCAGGTACAGATGAAAACGCACCTGCTCTGCACACGTAGAAACATACTTTCTAAATGGGTGTGTCTTCTTGTGCATATTTTCACCAAAAATAAAGGCCTCAAAAAAAAAACGAAAAAAAGTGGGCCCAGCAGCCAGATCACTATACTTTCACATACATTGCTGAGCTCTAGAGAAAATAAAAGATGTCCCCACGGAACCCCCACAGCACACTCACACAGGCCGGGAGGGAGCATCGCGATCAGGAACCCCCGTACACTCTCGGGGCAACAGGAGCCAGTGTGGAAGGAGGCACTGCTGAGCCCAAGACTCTCCCACAAACCAGCTACTAGAGGGATGGAAGGACATCTGAAGCTTGGAAAACTCCACCTCTGAGAACTTGCATCTGGAGGCTACCCACAGAACAGAGGCTACTTGGCTCAGGAAATCAGACAAGAAGACAAGCTCAAGGTTGCCCTAGGACAATGGCGCCCTCTTGTGCCAACAGAAGAAAATACAAACCTTTTCTGGGTCCTCCCTCAGGATTCCTCTTTGGAACCAAGTCTTTGGGAGAGGAAGGTCTCACCAAGAAAATCACCAAATACTCAAGGAAAAGAAGCCACTACAATCAAGAACAGGCAGGAGCAGCAACCAGACCAGAAAGGGCTTTGGATTCTGTGATTATGAAACAGATGAAGTGAATGGAGTGAGGGAAGTGTAGGAGCAACCAGAAACTACCCAAACAACCATGTGAGGTTCTAGGGGGCTGGGGTCCCCTAGCTGCTTGACCTTCTCAATCCATTCCTACAAACAGGCAGAGCAACCAGCCAGCAACCGGAGCCCTCACACAACACAACACTTACAATGCTAGGTGGCAAGGCAGACGTTGCCGTAACATATCCCAAACACTGTGGGGAGAGAGATGGCCAGCATCTATGTGGAATCAGGAGAGGGAAGCAGTGCTGAGTCTGATGAGCCGGGATGGGAGAGCCCCTAAAGACACAGGGCTTCATCACAACCTGGAGCCCAGGCTGGAACACCACAGTCCTATGGGGGGGTGCCAGAGCCAGGAAAGCTGCACATGGGGGGCGGGGGGGGAGTGGGAATTTGAGTTCAATCACTGGGTCCTGGAAGCCCAGGGACCAGAGACGGGGGTAAACACGAGCCCTGAAGTTCTGACTGTGAACTGGGAATAGCAGCAGGACCTCATGTATCAGTCGGCTTTTACAGTCCCGGCTCTGTCCACGGAAAGGCCTGTGGCCCTGGGCTAAGTAACACAGCTAACAAAGGCCACCCCATCTGGTAACCACAGCAGGTGAGTGGATGGAGGCATGCAACACGTTGGCAGCACACCTTGAAACCAGTGAACCAGACTTTGCGTCAGTGCCCCAATCCGCAGGACAATACAAGAACAAACCCAGAGGCCAAGAGAAGGCAGGAACCTAAAGATTAGTGAGGTATCTGGCCACCACTGCCGACCGCACTGACAGGAGTCATGATGGGGGGACAAAACTCAGATTCATAAAAACACTAGGCTTACAGACCTGACAGACTGGTGGGACCCCTGAGATCGTCGCCCATAACCACCCTTCAAGTGTGGAACACAGGAGACAAGCCTACGCGGTGAACGATCACACTCACTCCTACAGGAGAGCAAAAGGACAGCATCTGACCAGCAGGAACGGGCAGGAAAGGCAAACAAACCAGAACGGTGAACACAAGGAACACGTGGCCAGAGTGCTGGTATGTTACAGGGACTACAATCAGTGTCATGAAATAAACATGTACGTCATAAACTGCTCAACGGAGCCCTGGCATGGCACAGAACAGGCACTGGACTGCTGCCAGCTGAAACCACCAGTCACTTCTCTGAAAGGCTCCACAGGGTCACTATGAGTCGTAAACAACTTGATGGCACTTAACAACTACAAATTGTTGAATGGAAAACCAATTTGCTCTGTAAACTTTCCCCAAAATCATAATAAAAAGCTCAAACAAACCAGACAAAACTCCAGTGTCTGAGGTCAGACACAAGGGCAATGCGTGGAAGCCAGAGCAGCAGTGAGACTTGGAGTGAGACGCTTCGAGGTCGGCTGCCGGGCTCTCTACCTGGACCTGGGCGGGTCTGCGAAAGTGGACGCCTCATAACCACGTCACATGCTGCTCTGTGAGATGTGAGTCTCATTCCGCCATGACACGGAGTTTTTGTTAAAGGTGGCAATAGGAGAGAAGGAGTTGGATGATGGATGATGAATAGAGGAAACGAGATGCCACAAATCCATGGTTGTTGAAGCTGGGGGAGGGAGGCTCTGAGTGTGCCACAGTATCACTGTCTATGTAAATGGTCTGTTTAAAACAGTCCACATCTAAAAGTTCTCTTGGAGTTTTTTGTTGTTGCTGATTTAAAAAAAAAAAATCAAACCAAATAGGATAAGGAATCAAACAGAATTGTTTGAAAGTGGAAAATGTAATCACTGAAATAATGCAGAGAATGGGGAAAAAGTAATATTTAAAGAAATAGCAGCCAAGAATGGGTCACAGCTACAAATCTGCAGATACAAAAAGTCATAGTCAGTCACACTGAGAAAGGATTACAGCAGACAGCTTACAGTGGATCAAACAGCCACAAAGCGTGAACTCTGTACAGTACCCTAGAACCTGACTACCTACAAAAGAACAGCTGAAACCACGAGGGACGCTAGAACCCAGAACACAGTGGGCTACGAACTTCATGGGCAAAACAAAGATACGTTTCCGAGAAAAAATCTCACACAACAATAAAACCTAGTTCTCAAAAAGTCTCTACCCACATCAGTCAGTACGGAGTAGGATGACCATCAAAGACAGCCTCTGGAGCATCTGGGGTTGGAGGTGCCCAGGAGCACTGGTCTACGCTGGAATCACACCAGCCCCGCCTGAGAGCAGTCTCTGAAAGCCGTTCACTCTGTAACCTCTGCTGTGTCTGCTCACACCCAATCCCAGGGCCTGAGTGCCCACCCTATGCGGGCGCCACGCAAATGACCAGGCACTGACCGGGACAGCTGCCCCAGAGGACACGGCTGGTGAGAGCCAGAGTGTGGCTTCAGTCATGTGCAGCCCTGCTCCTGAAGCACACAAGCAGCCACAGAACAAGTCAACAATCGACATGGCTGCATCCCAACAAAACTCAGCAAGCCCGGCAGTGGGCTGCAGCTCCGGGCCCCCTGGGGTCTGTGCACCCTGAGCCCCTGTGGGCATGACTCGTCCTGGAAGACATGCTCTGGGGACCTTGGCTGCAGACAATGTCGGGGGCAGGGACACGGCACCACTGACCTCCCGTTCACCTAGCAGACAGGTCAGGAGGCAGCGCCAACCCCCCCACCCCCACCCCCACCGCAGGCCCTGGGCTCAGACATAAAATCCTGCTCACAGGCGGGGGTACTGAAAACTTGGGCGGGTGCTAAGGACTGCTCCGGCTCACAGGACTGTAGCTCATAGACCTGTGAGGAAAGCTCGGGGACAGCCCCTCCTCCCACCCCAGCACTCACTTGATTTTTAGCACGTGGAGGGACTTGTTGGAGGAAGCTGTTATCTCTCCAGTCTTGTTTCTGTTGATGTAAACTGAAAAGCCATTGTTCTGGAAGCCAAACTCCTTTGCAACCTAAAATGAGCCCAAAACAACAGGGTTTAGTGAGACACGTCTGCATCTGCACACATACACCTGTGACAGATGCTGCTGGAGCTCAGTCCCCAACAGCCAGGGGGAAGAGGGGGTAGAGACTGTCCCGCACCAGCTGTGAGGGAACTGCACTGTTCACGTTGATGACAATCCAAACCAACAAGGTGGTCACAAGAAGCAAGACGCTGGTGTGGATGATGGACAGGACACAAAAGACTGACTTCTACTTCTGAAATCCATTCTAAAACCCAAGGACACTTCTGAGAGCTAGCCAGAGAAAGAAAACAAAGCATGGGAGGGTGCCAGGAATCAGCAACACGGATCTACTGAGGGCCAGGGGGACCACTGTACCAGGTGGGTGGAATCCAACAGGAAGTAAGAAGCTCAGTCCCTGCTGTCAACTCGGGGCATGGAATCCAGAAGGAGAGACTGGCGACTGAGAGCCACAGCAGCAGGCAGAGCCCAGAACACAGGGCAGCTCAGACCAGGAGAGGAGCGTGCCCCAGCCCACACAGAGCGGGGACTGAGCACTACCAGCAGGAGGGACCAGGACACAGTGGGGACAGGAGAGGGCTTGAGCAGAGTGTCCAGTAAGGCCAGGCCAGTGCGCAATTACTGGAGAAGGAGACGCAGGGGCTTGACGGCAGAGTCTGTAACCCATCCCAAGGACAAAAGGCAAGGGCGTCATCAAACCTGCACTATGTCTGAAGCCCCAGTCTGTGGCAGGCGGGAACATGGCTCTGCTGAGCAGGAGTGGAGTAGGAACACCCGTCAGGCAACCCAGCAGCCACCCAGGCAAGCGATAGGGTGGCCTGGACTGGGAAGAGAGGGGCACAGCGTCCCTGTGCTCATCGGCAGTCACCACCGTCAAACCTGGCTCATGGCAGGCAGGGAAGAGGGAGGGCAGATCCAGAGTGAAGGGGACACCAGCAGGGAAAGAAGCAGCGGGAAAGGCCAAGGAAACCCAGACTGCAGATGAGCAGGCTCCTGGAGCCCCCGACGCACAGAGGTGATCTGGACAGCACAGGAGTCAGAGCTGAGGGCTGGGACCCCCGCAGGAAGTCAGGAGGAAGAGGAGGGCCCAGGGAAGAACACCACAAAAAACAGGCCATGTGGCAGCAGGAAGACCAGAGGACACAGAAGCCCTACTCAGAGCGTCCAGAGCAGCACTATTCCTGACTTAATCATCAAGGGCCACACATGTCCCCAAGGTCCACTAAGAGGACCAAGGACAAGCACATGGGCTTCGTCTCTACTGTGAGACACTGACCAGTGAGAACTGTGAACCTGGCATGAGCCAGCTCCCCCACGAGGTGTAGCTGCCAGGGGTAGGGTGACTGGTACTAGACAGAGAGCTGACCCATGTCCAAGAACTCAGGGGAGACGAGCAAAGGGATGAAGATCAGGGACTGTTAGCAGAGGAGGGAAAGAGTCCAAGACATGAGAGCCACAGCAGCTGAGACAGAAAACCCCCTGGAGGAGGCAGCCAGGTGTCTGGGCAGAAAGGATCCGGCCTGGGGACAGAGCCTGAGGAGTCCCTGGACAGAAGCTAGAGATCGAACACAGGTGTCACAGGAGTCTCAGGAAGAGGGGAGGGCAACGGAGGCACAGAAAAATCTGGAAGAAAGAATGACCAAAAACTTCCTGAGTAGATGAGAAATACTGACTAACAAGTTCAAGAAGTTCAGCAAACCCCAAAGTATCATAAACCCAATGAAAACCATTTCTGGGCATACCACAGTCAAAATGCTGAAGATTAAAGGTAGGATAACGTCCTTAAAGCAACCCAAGAAAAAAAGTCAACATTACATAGCGGCGAGAATCTGGATTCCTAATAAGAAAGTCACTGTGATCAGAAGCAAAGGAGTAGCATCTCTAAATGGGTGCCAACTCATCCGGATCTCATGTCCAGTGGCTGGACCCTTCAAACACAAGGATACAATAAAAATGAGGAGACACACTACGGTCTGGTCCTCAGGACCACCGTACACCACAGACGAGCAGGGGAGATACAAGAGACGAAATTAAACATGTGGAATTGTGCACCATGAAGTTATCATATGAGATGAAAATGCTGTGACTAGTTTCAAAAGAGACCACACTGCTGGTGGGACTGTAAAATGGCACATCCACTGTGGAAACGGAATGGTGTTTCCTCAATGCCTCTACTTGGTACAAATCATCAAGAAATGAGCTCTGGGACTTCCGGCAAGATGGCAGACTAGGCAGAAACACTACCACAAAGTGAGAGACCAAATAAAACAGAGACAGACGAGAATTCCGGCACCCTGAACCTCAGAAGAAGGTTAGAGAGGTAGATGGAGTGCTTGCTGGGAGAGAGAGGAGGGAGACTGCTTGTGGAGAATGGCTGGCCAGCCCTCAGCTCGACCCTCTTGTTAGCAGCTCTGCCAGCAGAGGGAGGCGATGGAAAAGGCTGGATTGTTCTTCTTTTCCCCACACTCCCCTGGTGACCAGAAGTGTGGCCAGCTCCCACCCTCATCCACCCCCAGCTCTCCAGGAGATTGAAGCCATGTGGGTGGGAGGCATGCCAGTGTGAGGTCGGGGCCAGCTGAGCCACTATGGTGCCTGGATCCAAGTAGGCTCAGCTCCAGACCTACAAAACCCACAGGACCACCAGAGCAGCATTTAAACGATCGTCCCACCCCCAGCTTCCCCGTAGTCCTAACAGACACTGAAACCAGCCCCACCAAGGGCTCCCACAAACAACTTCCAGATTGAGTGTCCTGAACATAGGTAATACCGAGGCCAATAGGAACTCCACTTAGGGCCAGGGACTCTGCTGTCACATCCCTTCCACACGTACCATGTGAGCTCCTTGTCTGCCCTCCGGGTCTAACAACAGCACCATTTGTTTTTATAAATATGAAAATCCCATAATGCCCCAGAGACAACCAACAATTTTAACTCACACAAAGAAACAAGAGAGAATGACTCAAACAAATGACCTAGATGCAGACACACATTTCTAAGAAAGAAAAGGTAACAGAACTAACTGAAAAAGAATTCAAAAGAATGATAATTAGGTACCTTCAAAGGATCAACCGAAAGATTGAGGAAAGCAAGGAGAATGCGATAAAAACTTTAGAAAGATTCAGGGAAACACTGTAAGAATAAACAGACAAAATAAATGCAAATTTTGAAACAAATCAAAACCTACACTTAGAAATCCAGAGAGTGAGTAATACTAAGGTCTCAGAAATGGGGGTGAAGAGCAAAGCAGCAGACGTGAAGCAATGGAAGCCCAAATTAGTGAACTTGACAAGAAACCTCTCACTATTAGCATGCTAGAACAATAAGAAAAAGGAAGCCTAAGAGTTTACGTGGGACACTAGGAAGAGGAACAACTTGCAGGTGATGGGAATTCCAGAACAGAAAGAGACACACAGAGAAAACTGGCGAAGTGTTGTTGGAAGAAAATGTCCCTAGATTCATGAAAGACGAGGAGATAAGCATCCAAGAAGCTGAACAAACCCTAAACAGGATTGATCCCAAAGAAAATCACCAAGACATATCATAATCTTTCCAAAATCAAATACAACAGCAAAGTTAGGACTCATAAAGGAGCCCGAGAAGCATAATGGATTACAAACTGGGTTGCTAACCACAAGGTCAGCAGTTCGAATCTACCAGTCATTCCACAGGAGAAGGATGAGGTTTCCTGCTCCTGTAAATATTTACAGTCTTGGAAACCCTATACAGGGATGGAAAAATCAGGATACTTCCTGATAAACAGAAGGTAATCCTAAGAACAGCTTGGGAAAAACAAGGTTACCTACAAAGGAGAACCAATAAGATTACACTCTGATTTCTCAGCAGAAAACTTGCAGGCAAGAAGGCAATGAGATGATGACATATATAACACTCTACTCTAAAAGAAAAAGATTGCCAACCAAGAATCTTATGTCCAGCAAAGCTGTCCCTCAAATACGACAGTAAAATGAGGACATTTCCTGATAAACACAAATTAAAGGAATTTGTAATGTCCAGTATACTTTATAAAAACTGATAAAGGGTGTCCTGTGGACTGAGAACCAGCAGCAGACAGCAGCCTGGGATTACCACACACGACAAAAACACCCAGAACTTAATCCAGACATAGAAGTGGTTAAAATAAACAACCCTACGAGACTGAAAATAGGTACCCAGAGGCATCAATGTATAATGACGTCAACTACAAAATAGGTACCCAGAGGCATCAATGTATAATGACGTCAACTACAAAATAGGTACCCAGAGGTATCAATGTATAATGACGTCAACTACCAAAAAAAAAAAAAAGGGGGGGGTATAGTGTAGCTACAAAACGTCTAATGGTAAGGAAGTAGATTTCAAGGTTGAATAGACTGTTGTAATCAGGGAAAAAATTAATTACAGGGCAACCTCAAAGAATAATAATACAATATACCTGTATATCACAAAAGAGAAAACCAGAAAGCTGTAGTAGACATCAACACAACAGAAATGACAACAGCAAGATAACCTGCAAAGAGAATGAACTCAGCATAGAAAATCATGTGGAACAAAGAATCCAGCAGCACCACACGCAGAGAAATGACAACAAGCAATTCATACCTATTGATAGCTACACCCAAAGTAAATGGATGAATGTATCAGTCCAGAGACTTAAGGAGCAGAATGGATAAGAAAACAGGATCCTTCAATATGCTGCTTACAAGAGACACAACAAAAGGATGGAGACAGCCCATCAACAGAAAAACGGTTAAAGTAACTTTGGTACATACATACAATGGAATATTCAAAATCCGTGAAACACCTTGTAACACGGCTGAACCTTGAAGACACAGGGAGAAATGCAACAATTAAAGTGACTAGAGGTGTGTTGTTGTTGTTGTTAAGTGCCTTTGAGTCGGTTCCGACCCATAGCGACCCAGTACAGGGTTTCCGAGGGTGTAAATCTTTAGGGGAGTAGAAAGCCTCATCTTTCTCCCGCGGAGCGGCTG